TTCTTCGTTCGGTCTTAACTGTTAAACATAGCCTACTACAGTTTCCTACAACTAGTTTTCTAAAATGCTGTCTACCTTCTAAGTGGCTGATATCTAAGTAAAATTTGACAAGATCACTTTTATAGTCACTTGACATCGATGGTTCAGTATAGTTCTCTTGGTCATTAAACCCAGAACATCGATTACCTCGACATAAGTCATGAGATCACAACATACACCATTTTGAGTCGAGTATTATAAAATATGACAAAAATAGTGTGCTTTTATATATCTTTCATTGTTTAACCCTTGGTTATATCTGGATCAAATTTACATAAACTGTGTGTATAAAATAAGCCTTTGCAACCTTCCTCCTGTAAAATTACTTAATAACGACAAACACCATAGCCTTCATTTCGATTCATCGTTTAGGTTTTCATTTCCGTTTCATTTATTTCTTCAATATCTTTGGCATATTGTACAACTGTTTGTTCGACTGTGTTTTCCCTGCATTAGCCTCAACGTAACCCTTCCACTTTACGAAAGTAGATACGTACGTATATAACGTTACTCAAGGAACAAGACCTAGATATACTAAGACCAGATTAACTGGATCGAAACATTAATTTATGGGTTTTGTTTATCCTAATGATTGGTCAGGTTTTGAGGCAACTTTGATTTAGTTGCATGACTAGGATCAAAATGTTACAACTGACAAGTGTAAGTAATTAATTTTGTAGTTTCTAGGTCAGCTACATATTCCTGTTTGTCAGCTCTAATATTTTCCTCACTCACTTGTTTCCTTCTGTATATTCGACCTGTACTCTATCCGTTTCTGTTTTTGTTTAGCTGTTGTTGACTGTTGTTTTTTGTTTTTCTTGTCTTGAATCCTGTTCAGATTATGAATTAAAAATCATGCTGTTGACGGGTGCTTTATGAGCCCCGGCACTTGGTATGTTGAGGTTATTTCCTTTTTCCTTCTCAATTATTGTCCATATGGGTTTCTCTTCGTAGTATATCTTGAAAGATTTGGAAACTATTGCTGAAAGCTATTCCTAATTCGCTTAATTTACTAGTATCTCGAAGGACTGTTTAATTGAGTTTTTGCTGAGTTGCTTGTCCGATTGTCCTATGCTTCATTAACTTCGATTTCAGCTTGATCACCACCAAGTGTAAACCTGAATTCATATTAGCTCCTCCCTTTTCCCTACGTCTTCCATGGACCTTCCGAATTTTCTGTTGATCCAGATGCGATCGATCAGTTTCTCCGTAGCGTGGTCTCGTGAAGCTTTGTGTGTATGTTTTGGAGGGAAAATTGTACAAACCATAATCATTTTATTGAAAGCACATAGACTTACTAGCCTCTCAGCAACCTTGCTCCTTTCTCCCAGTCCATGTCGTCCCATAATATCATATCTGGTGTTGTCCATTTCAACTGGCGTTTTTAGAGCTTCCATCAGAATGGTTTGATCTTTTCCAGGGCAGTTCCCTACAATGAACTGCTCCCTCTTATCATTGATGAACGCATGTCATAAAATGGCATTCATTTTAGTCCCTTCGTATGTTTTTAAGGATCCTTTAATGACCTAGAATCCATGAGATTCCTATCTTATAAGTGCTTCTCGTAGTTCTTTGGACAGCATCACTGTAACTCGTTGCGTGTGTTAGCAGTTTTCCTCTCCATGAACGGAATGCAACAGCATCTCTTTTAAAGCTAATATTTTCTGTCCAGCTTGGGTCCAGTCGGCTTCAATTATTCCAAGCACCACCATGGTTGTATCTTATCATTTTCGCCGCTATTTGAATGGCCCTTGCGGTCTCCCACATTGTGCGGACAACCTGTGCGTTTATTTTTTATTCGTTGCTTTAATTATTAAAAGGGACATCAGCCTCGTGACTCCCGAAAAATCTCGGCTTTAACCATGAGACGTCATAAATATTCTATATGAAAACCCTCCGACTATCACTGGAGATTTTTAATGGTCTAAATGCTTCTTTTTGTTAGGTGCTTTTTAGTAAGTTTCTCTTCTACGGGGTAGGGTTTGCAACCCGGACCAGCAACAGCACTAAAAGGGGTCAATGTGGGATTGATTTGTGTACTTGCTTCTTGATAATCTTCCCCCGTTGTAGTTAAATTGGTCTTCTGTTTACGAAACCATTGTCCTCTCATTCATTACCTTCTTAGTTCATTTAGAATATGACTTAATCAGTGTAAAATTAAACCTTTCAGAATCATTGTTAATCTGGTTTTGTTTTTCATATAAACTTTCATCTGCCTGCGTCTTGTGATCTCAGTTCAGGTCAACGGTTCACTTCAACGATACAGTTATAACACATAACCCTTAAGTCTTTGTTCTAATATTAGTTATCTTCGTGGTTAACAAAATGTTCTATATTCATATACTTTTTTGTTTTGTTTGAAAATGTATTATTAAGTTTTGTGTGGTAATTTTCAGTCGGCCTGGCAACTTTTTCCTACGTGAAGAAAATATCCTAGTTGAGATTCGTGTTGCTAAGTAGCTGTGTGAGTGGTAGGTATGTGATAAGGTCAGTTGACGTTCAATGAAACGAAAAATGGCTGTATAAGAATGATGCATGTCGGCTCGTCACGATTCCTTAAGTGGGTCCCTAAAGACTATAACTCAGTAGCCACATATTTCGTCATTGATCAAAATAGAAGCCAGAAACAATCATGTAGTTTCCTGTTTCATTCTTCTCGAACATAAGATCGACATTGTTAACCGAAGAAAATCTGTTTTTGTATGATGTTTATCTTTTGTCAAATGCCAAGTTGTTTATTTATTTTGTAACCCCTCTTCTTTTTTTTCAATACTACTATCCCATCTTGTGTACCACAATCTTTTAGTGTCCTACTGTACAAAAAAGTGTTGTGTTTTGTCAACTTATGCTTGAGGGGTCATGGTGTATTTATGTATTAGATCAATGACACAGTTAACGCCCTTGGCTTTCCATCACTGGACGTTATGTCTGTTTGAACAGGTAAGTGGCAGTAGTACGTTAACTGTGACTGACTGACTGACTGACTTGTATCCAGAAGGATTCTTCAAATCAATGTAAAAACATGTATATTTTGCGAAGCGACAAAAACATTGACTAACTTTATATTTAGAAACAATACGTTTCACACTTATTCACACATCAGTAACACCTAAAAATTCATTTCACCTCTAACCTTGGTCGTTAAGTAATATAACGATACATGTCACTACTAAATTATTCCAATCACAACTGATGTTTCTCAAGACAGTTCTATGTATTAATTAGTCCTCGAATGGCAACTAATATCATTTCTCATAGAATGGTGAAGGAGCTCTGATTCTCAGTTTTAAACTTCTTTTGATCTACCTCTTTGAATAATTGAATACTATCACTAGTCCTCACACAAAACCACCTCCTTAGACCTAGCATGCAAACTTACATGTCCGATTATAATATCTATACGAAATCTTCCTGCAAACAAACCCAACAGACAACTCAAGTACAAACAAAGCTTGTTCACTAACCATAGTTCTGGTTTCAGGTACTTTTAATATAAAACAAGAATATGAAATTCTTGCTTTTTGTATTCATTAAACGGATAATATTCTTATTTCTTTTTACACCCAGTATATGACCTTTAATCACGTTAGTCATTTCAATGATGATGGTTTCAACTTGTTTCATAAATAATTGCGTTTACTTCTCTATGAGCTTTAATCACATTGATAATAGTAATTATCTTATTATATTTATAGCGACTCACATACAATTGAGTTGATTCTCATTTACCTCAGTTAAGCCGTTTTTGTTAACTTATTCAGTGGACAAAGTCATCCATACTATAACAACTTGTTGTACTCTTATTATTATTGTACGTGTATGAAATATATGGGAATGAACATGTTTACACCCTACGCATATATTCATTCTGCCAACTTCATTATTAGCTGCTTAATCTAATCGTTGACTCATCCATTTCCCTGTATATATGTACATTTACTCTGTACACACACTATTAGATTATTGTTCATTAGATTACCAAATCTTGTCTAAGTTTTCTTAACCTTTATATCTAATGAACGTCGGAAACGAGTTTACGAATAAATGAGCTACAATGGCTTATCAATGATTAATCTATGAGGCATATCTAAGTTCGTTAGATATTAATGGGAAGAAATTGAGAAGACATTATGGAAATCAAATTGTGGGTGGCCCTGAAAAGGGGCTGTACTCGTTCCCGTTTTAGTTTGTAGTGGCGCCACACATAGGACAGTGCACTGCTCGTACGTCCGGTGATGGGTCGTAGGCACAGAACCTATGAAACATTGCTTCACAAGGACAGAAAACCCAACCAACTGCATCACCAGTTTCACATAGAGGTTGTGCACGATTACATATATCACATAAACAGTTCTCTTCATCATCTTCATATTGGAAGTCCCGTTCCATGAACTCTTCGGAGTTAATAGAAACTACTTCCCCCTCATCGTTACTGAACGTTGTGGCTCCTGACCAATGTTTCCTTTTAGCCGACACCGATGTATATTTCTGTAGTCTCCCTTCCATCCAATATCCAGTGCGAAGTAGCACACTGAAAATGGATCTCAACACCGGTGTTTTTCGATTCAGCTTATGCATCTTCAAAATTCGATGACTCGTCTCCACGAAGTTGGTATTATTTTGTTCAAGCAGCGTTGATGATGGTCGAAAAGCAGTAGACCATTTGTGTATTTTCGGTAGTAGGTGGTCTCTCACATATCTGGCAAACGTTCCGTCGGAATTTTCGATTAACGATAGTACATTGTTAAAACTACAAAATAATGTTATGCACCATTTGATTTACCTTTCAACCGTTCGAGTGAACATCAGGCGAAAAAATAGTTGTATAATTTCTGATCGTACCCTCTACATTTACGGTTAATGGGTTAGTGTTAATGAACGATACACTTACCCTCTTTATCACATTGCGAACAAGGTGTACACGACACAAAATATGGTGGGCATTTGGATAGACCTGCGTGATGGCAGCAGCTATTGCAGGTGAATCATCGGTCACAGTGCCTATCACCTGTCGACTGTTCGTAGACCGTTGAAAAAGAAGAGAAATCGAGAAATCAAGGCCGACGTTTCGCGACTTAAAAATGCAATGCAAACGGGTATTGCCTTAAAATTCATATCAAGGGCTACGACCTGATATAAATAGACGTTCTCGTTATTCGTCTTGTACGTCCCGTCAAAACCAATAACATCACAGAAACGACCTGTCAAATTCATTTGCTCAGCAGTCATGAAGAAAAAATACGATAGACAGTTTGGGATGCGTTTCTCTCCCCTGATCCCAAATAGGTTGATGAGGTAGTAAATCTTCATTACCTGGAGTGCTTGGGATATGTGTTACGTATACCCAACCAACGCCCATCTTGATGGGCTATGTTTGTTGGTGCAGGAGTAGGCTGGAAGAAAGCTATGGAGGGATCAGAAGTTCAGGAATCGACATCTGAATAATGTACATTATTTTCTATGTATATAGCCAGCAACCACATTGTCTCTCATTGTGCTCTTTCCTAACTTGTACAGCGAAAGGTCATGGACTTTTCACAAACACAACTGAATAGGTTGTGCAATTAATTGACATAATGATCTGTTGAAACAAACAAAAGACATAACTTGTTGAAATATCTAGATGGCAGGAACAGGTAGCCCAGATATTCAAGCAGGCCATTGCTCGAAATCGTTTGCAATAGCTCAGGTCCATCGATTCCTTGTCTTCCTCCAAATCGTGTGATTATGAATTCCTCATAATATTTGTTTTTATTTCGCTAATTTACATATTTTCGAGTCATATCTTCGATGCCTAATCTTTCCTATTATCACTTATACTGCTACTAACTCTACTATTCTGGGATTTGGCCCGTGTCAGTGTGCTAATGAGATATGGTAACCGATGTACATACGCAGAGGTTCAACGTTGTGACTGACCAAAGGAATTACCCAATAAATGCGAGGGAACAATAGCTATTAACGTATAGAACCAGTGCTCATTTTTCTTCTCAACTAATCATTTCTCCTGAGTTGGAGATCATCAAACTGGTATGATTCTTAAATATTCTATTATTTATTACCATATATTTACTGACTGTCTTAAGCATTCTAATTCATCACACTTATACTATCCATAAGTCGAAGCCTAACTTTTGCGTACGAAAACAGTATGTTCAGTCCCTCATCCTTCTATGGTCTTAATCTTCCTTTTAATCTCCCATAGTCGCTGGTTTTTTAAAATATTTATTTGTGCTCTTTTTGAATTTTTATTACAACTATTAATGAGCCATTATTACAAATTATTATTATTCTGTTCCTAACAACTTTCAAGTGGACAATTATCTTCATCTTATCACTTCTCACTAGCTGTTTTTTACATGACTTCCTATGAGTGACATATTTTCGTAAACATTCTGGGACTAGATACCGCTTCATGTTTTTTTCAAGTATTCAATTCCATTCTATTGTACTAGAGACTACTACTTTTGCGTATAAAATTAACTATAAATGCGACTATACATAATATTTTTAATAGCTAAATTCATGAGTCTATGTTAGCCAGACCACTATTGGAAACCTGGACGGCCGTTCCGTCCTAGTATGGGACTCCTCGCTAGTGCGCAACCACGACCCCGCATACGTGACTCGAACCCCAGGACCTTCGGTCTTACGCGCGAACGCTTAACCTGTAGACCACTAAACTGGCATCCAACAGTGTTATTGTCTAACGTCAGTCGATCCATGGTCTTGTGTAACCATTTATCCATCGTCTGAGGTAGATAACTGTCTCTACCCAACACATATTTGACTCCATTGGTCACAGCTTCTCATTAGAGTTCCAGGAAATCCATCTTAAAGCCAGTCACTAGTGAGCACATGATTACTATTATCATTAGAATGGGCGACATCTATGTCAAAAAGACGTCAATGTTTTGGATGGAAGGCCATCTAATATTACCTACCAAATTCCTTATTATACTTACTGTGGTTTACATATTTGTGTCAGTTTGATTGAACGCAGGTCTGCACCCATATCTTCATTTATCCTCTCATTGATTACAAACTCAAACAATCATTAACTTTACTCACGTATCGATTAACACCCATAAAACTCTTTTTTACTCACTCGCTTTTCGGTGTGCTTGCTATCGCGCTCTCGTGGATTTTATTAATTATTAACGATACGCCATCCCAACGATTCGTGTTCTGGCTTTTAAATACTAACCTGCTTCGGTTTGGGCAGTAAAGTTTAGCCTGCTATAATAATGAAATGTCCTGAGAGTACAACGGTTTGTAAATATTTGTTTTCCTCAGACATCCAACTGAAAAGTTGTCGTACTCGGAAATATCAAAGTAACAAAAGTTTCACGATTGTTATCATGTATTTAACCGCTAGTTAAGATGTTTATTTACAAACGCCCTGGTACGGCCGAGAGTGGGGAGAGTTCGCTCTCCCTCTCGAAATGCTCTCACACGGCCACGCGTATACAGCCTCTGCCAGGGAAGTCCTACTCATGGCCTTCTGGTGGCGGGGGTGTTTACGAAATCGAGAGGACGAAAAGCGAGTGTCCAGCGTTTTAACCGGGTTGGTGGATATGGAGGATCCACTTAGGGGAGTTGTAAAACTTTGATTCCAAACCAGTGGTGCACATGGGCTCCGGGATCCTGAGGAGACAAATGGCTTATGAACTAATTGTTCACTGGCTACCATGGGACTGCATCTCCTTACGTTGCTCTACTGCCTTGTGGATCAGACCTTTAGGTCAAAAGCTCGGAGAGTGGCCCTCTAAGTAAACCACCTCCTTCGGTTTTGACACCCGGGCAGTATCACACCCCTCACATAATTAAAATAAAATGACAATAACTATTAGGTAAACTACTCGCACTCCTATTAAAATTCAAATAACCCATACCCATTTGAAAACATTCACTTTTATTTTTTGTACCACGTCACTTGTCCACCCTCTTCCATTCTCACCTTGTGTATCCTTATCTTTCAACTTGTGTGGCGCACATATATCTGATGCCCCCTTATACCAATATTTGTGTTCAAATAAATAAATAAGGGAACACTATAGTAACATCCTACAAATGATACAACTAAAACTTTCCGGTCTTCATATTGTACATATTAACTTTGAACAAATTCGTTAAAAAAAGTTTCCAATTATCAACACTCAAATTACACATCATTGTAAAATATAAACAATAAATCTATTTCCAATGAATTAATTGTATAATAATCCGGTTTATGTATGTTTAGAAGTAGGGGGGGTGGTATGTTTTTCACATTTATACTTTTAAAGTAATTTAATACTTTTTTTAATTAAACTTTCTAATATTTCTTCTTATTTACTTTAGAATTCATTCGTTTCTTGCTCACAATATTTACACATATATGTGTAGATATACACAGAATGAATAAATCCAATAATAATGAATACGATGAGTTGACAAAACGTATAGGTTTTACATCAATGATGGAACTTATCTGTATTTGTTTATTTCCATTAATATTACAATGTTTACGATCACTGGTATGTATACATTTTAATATATTATCGAAAAATCGATTTTATTTATCTTTGATTATTGATTATTTCATTATTCTATTACCAATTATTTTATTATTAACTTTATTATCTTCTTATATTATTATAATTGTAATAAGTTGTTTTGTCATATTTCTATTATGGTTATTATTACCAAACTATAATCAAATGAATTCTTTTGGAAATCTCCATTTTTTTCCAACGGATATTTTAATTGCCTATTTACGAACCACCATATATATACTTTCTTGTATTATGATTTATGCTATTGATTTACCAATCTGTCCAAGACGTTTTGCTAAATCTGAGTTAAATGGTGTTGGTTTAATGGATGTTGGTACAGGTTTATTTATATGTGCATCTAGTATATCCGGTTCTAAATTAGTTTGGTATATGAATATTTACAGAGGTAATAGTAAAAGGTTTTTAGATTGTACATTGAATTCTGTAGTACCATGTTTACTTTTAGGATTACTACGAACATTATTAATTCAAATGTCAAATTATCATCAGAATATTGTAGAATATGGTGTCCATTGGAACTTTTTTTATACTATTGCATTGATACGTGCCATATCACTCGTTGTGACCACTGAAAATCCTATCAGTAGTTATTTGATAACATTTTCACTGAAAAAACAAATTCTGTTCTATTACGTTGTATCCTCTATATTCTTAATATTCTCTGAATTTTTGCCAATAATAATTTGTCCAGAGTATTTTCAAACAAGATGGCAGTTTAATCCAAGAACACTACACTATATAAATGATAATCGATCAAAATCTTTATGGATTGCTAATTTTGAAGGTGTCACCTCCTTATTTGGTTATGCATCAATTTACTTCTTCAATTTGGGTTCATCACTTATATTTCGATCTTATTTGTCAACAGACACCAATAATGACAGTAATAATGGAGTAAGTTCATTGAACAAGAAGGAATTTCCGCGTAATATTCCGTTATCCAGATTACATTTAATCTGTGCTTTCATGATCCTATGCTCAATAAGTTGTTTCCACTCACTAGGTGGTAGTCAAATGACATCCAGACGTTTTGGAAATTCTAACTATGTATTACTCATTATATTTCTCTCAGCCATCTGCTTTCTTTTTCTCTCTTCGATGATTTCATTACTGATACACTTTAAATCACTTTTCAATCTAAATTTAAGCTATTCTCCATTATCCTTGATAATTAATGATAAAGGCTTGTTATATTTCATCATTTCGAATTTATTGACTGGTTTCTTCAATGTGTTTTGTTTGAATACTCTACATTTGTTGCCTGAACGGGCAAAGTTAAATGTTATCACGGGTACGTATGATGATTTGAGTTGGACTTCGTCATTGTTACAATTTTTAGTGCTCTTAACCTATTCGAGTTTATCAGTTATTTTTGTTTTAATTGGTTCCTATTACGATTGTCTTAAATTTCTTACTTCTAGTGTGTTTGGTATTTTTAAATAAATGATTGGTGTGAATCAACGGTTCTTCTAAATACATTCCTTAAGTAATCGACGGCTATACCTAAAAACTTCTGCACACAAGTTTGCATTCGATTTTAGGCAATTTATAGACATTTTAAGTTGACCTAATTTATTTTCGACTGACATTCATACTTAGACCTGTTCAGTTATTGCATCTATAAGTTGTTGATGGTTTTCCTGATGCCTCTTTTTCAGAAACCAATCATGTTATGAATGAAGACAGAAGTGCCTATCAACGACATTGGTCTAGATTAAATGAAAACTTCTTTAGGCTTAATAGAACATTAGTTATAATATTTCGTTTTCTCAACCGGATTGTAAGATGATTGACTTTAAGCCCTAAGATGCTATAGACTCAGGAATGATAATCAACTGCTTACTAACCATGAATATGCCTAATTAGGTGGATCAAATGGTATTTATAGACTAGTCAAAACTGTGTAGCACAGTTTTAATTGTTCTCCAGAAGGTGTAACTAGCACAATTCACTTACTTTACTGGGTGTCTATCGTCATACAAATTAACACAGTATTTTCTTCATGCTCAGATCTTTAGAGTAAACATTAATTTCTTCTAGATACATTTCGTAATAGGTGTCAAATGTGCATGTACTTACTTACTTACGCCTGTTACTCCTCGTGAAGGAGCATAGGCCGCTCACCAGCGTTCTCCATCCAACCCTGTCCTGGGCAATCCTTTCTAGCTCCGTCCAGTTGTAATTCATCCTTTTCATATCTGCTTCTATTATCCGACGCAATGTGTTCTTTGGCCTTCCTCTTTTTCGCTTCCCCTCAGGATTCCAAGTTAGGGCTTGCCTCGTGATGCAGTTTGACGATTTGCGTAATGTATGTCCTATCCATTTCCATCGTCTTTTCCTAATTTCTTCTTCAGCTGGAAGTTGGTTTGTTCTCTCCCACAGAAGGCTGTTGCTGATGGTATCCGGCCAATAGATGTTGAGTATCTTGCGAAGACAGCTATTTATAAATACTTGTACTTTCTTGATTGTGGTTGTTGTAGTTCTCCAAGTTTCAGCTCCATACAGTAGAACTGCCTTGACGTTCGTATTGAAGATTCTCACTTTGATATTGGTTGAAAGTTGTTTTGAGTTCCATATGTTCTTCAATTGTAGGAATGCGACCCTTGCTTTGCCGATCCTCGCCTTTACGTCTGCATCTGAGCCTCCTTGTTCATCGATGATGCTTCCCAGATATGTGAAGGATTCTACATCTTCCAGAGTTTCGCCATCAAGAGTGATTGGATTGCTGTTCTCCGCTTTGAATTTGAGGACCTTAGTTTTTCCTTTGTGTATGCTGAGGCCTACTGATGCAGAGACTGCTGCTACACTGGCTGTCTTCATCTGCATCTGTTCGTGTGTACGTGATAGGAGGGCTAGGTCATCTGCGAAGTCCAAATCGTCTAATTGATTCTGAGCTGTCCATTGTATTCCGTGTTTTCCTTCAGATGTCGAGGTCTTCATAATCCAGTCGACCACCAGAAGAAAGAGGAAGGGAGAGAGTAAACAGCCTTGTCTGACTCCGGTCCTTACTTGGAATGCATCTGTCAGCTGTCCTCCATGCACTACTTTGCACTGTAGTCCGTCGTATGAGTTCTGGATTATATTGACAATCTTCTCAGGAATTCCGTAGTGTCGAAGAAGTTTCCATAACGTCCTCCTGTCTACACTGTCGAATGCCTTTTCATAATCAATGAAGTTGATGTATAATGATGAGTTCCACTCAACTGATTGTTCGACGATGATCCGTAGTGTTGCAATTTGGTCTGTGCACGACCGATCCTTACGGAATCCAGCTTGTTGATCTCGAAGTTGGGCGTCTACTGCATCCTTCATCCGGTTCAGCAACACTCTGTTGAAGACTTTCCCTGGTATTGACAGTAGTGTTATGCCTCTGTAGTTTTCACATTTGCTCAGATCTCCTTTCTTTGGAATCTTGACGAGGTGTCCTTCTTTCCAGTCCATCGGCACTTGTTCCTCCTCCCAAATCTTTTTGAATAGAAGATAAAGCATGCTTGTGGTTGTTTCGATGTCTGATTTCAGTGCTTCAGCTGGTATGTTGTCGGGTCCTGCTGCTTTCCCGTTCTTGATTTGTCTGACGGCCATTCTAATTTCTTCCGTAGTTGGTGGATTGACATCTATAGGAAGATCTATGTGTGCTGCTTCGATGTCCACTGGATTCATTGGAGCCGGCCTATTCAGGAGTTCCTCGAAGTATTCTACCCATCTGTTACGCTGTTGTTGAATTTCGGTGATTGGCTTGCCTTCTTTGTCTTTGACCGGCCTCTCTGGTTTACTGTATTTCCCTGATAGTTTCCTCGTTGTATCGTAAAGCTGTTTCATGTTTCCTTCTCTAGCAGCTTTTTCTGCCGTCGTTGCTAGTTCTTCAACGTATTTCTTCTTGTCGGCTCTAATGCTCCTCTTCACTTGTTTGTTTGCTTCTATGTATTCAGCTTGTGCTTGGACTTTCTCTGCTCGTGTTCGGCTGTTGTTTATTGCTGCCTTCTTGTTCTTCCTTTCTTTGATCTTGTCCACTGTTTCTGTAGAGATCCATTCCTTATGATGGTATTTCTTTAGACCGAGAACCTCTTGACACGTTGAAGTTAATGCTTCCTTGATGCCTTTCCAGTTGTCCTCCATAGTAGTTTCTTCTTCTTTCAGTAGATCTCGTAAGGCTTGGAACCTGTTGTTGAGAGCTATCTTGAATTCATTGAGTTTGACAGTATCTCGAAGGAAGGCTGTATTGAACCTTTGTATTGCTGTTTGTCCACTTGTCCAGTTCTTTTTTAGCTTCAGTTTCAAATTGGCTACAACTAGGTGGTGATCTGAAGCTACGTCAGCACCTCTCCTGGTTCTCACATCTTCCATTGTCCTTCGGAATTTCTTGTTGATGCAAATATGATCTATTTGGTTCTCTGTAGTGTGGTCCGGTGAGATCCATGTAGCCTTGTGTATACGCTTGTGTGGAAATATTGTGCCTCCTATGACCAATTTGTTGAATGCGCATAGATTTGCAAATCTTTCTCCATTTTCGTTTCTTCCTCCCAGTCCATGTCGTCCCATAATATCTTCATATCCAGTGTTGTCTATTCCGACTTTGGCATTTAGATCTCCCATTAGAATGGTGAGGTCCTTTTTTGGGCATTTCTCTATCACTGACTGCAGCCGCTCGTAGAACTGATCTTTAATTTCGTCGTTGCTATCATTGGTGGGTGCATAACATTGGATAATATTCATTAAGATCCCCTCCTTCTTTGTTTTGAATGATGCTTTGATGATTCTGGATCCATGAGATTCCCATCCTACAAGTGCATTTCGTGCTACTTTGGACAGCATAAGAGCGACTCCCTGAGTGTGTGGAGCATTGTCCTCTTCGTGACCGGAGTATAGCAGCATCTCTCCCGTAGCTAGCCTTTTCTGTCCAGCTTGGGTCCAGTGGGTTTCGCTGATTCCCAGTACTGCTAAGTTGTATCTCCTCATTTCCATTGATATTTGACTGGTCTTCCCGGTTTCCCACATTGTTCGAACGTTCCATGTACCTATAAAAATTTTTGCTCTGGTTGTTAGAAGGGGCATCGGCCTCGTGGCTTCCGAAGGAACTCGGCTTTCACCATGAAGCGTCATAATTCTTCTAAATGAAGACCTTCTAACTCCCAGGGCAGAGTTAAAATGGTTTGGATTATTTTTTCTGGTAAGCGTTTTTTTAGCGAGTTAGTTTTCTACGGGATGGGGACGCTAACCCCATGCCCAACCCTCCTCCTTTACCCGGGCTTGGGACCGGCAACAACCCTATAAGAGCTACAGGCGGAGTTAAATGTGCATGTAACTTGAGTCAAATAAAATTGCGATAGATCGTCTACAACTAATTCCCACTTAATAGTTGGTATATTGTATTTTTGGTATTTATCAAAATAAGGTTATGGTTTCCATTACGAACTGAAATCAGCTATAATGCAAGGATCTTAAATTGTATCCTAAGTCATAGTATATTGAACCATTGACCCACCCTTCCCGTCTCTTGATTAACTAGAGCGATTAAGATCCCAGCATGGTTCGGTGATGTTCATCTTTACCACTTTGTACAACATAAAGATGCTAATTGCACCAAGTTATTCCATTTTACTGATAGCAAAACGAAGATAATGTTAGAAGCTAATATAATTAGGTAGTGCATTCAGTCATAAACAACATGGGACAAGTTTGCAGAAAACTAAACTCTGATAATATCACCACATTGGCGGGGGGCTGTCTTATAGTTCATATAAT